ATGAAACACTATGTAAGGTCACCTTGAACTCTTGTATAAAAAGTGATACATAAATCTAATAAATATACTGAGAAATACATTATTTTATACAGAGAATTTCATTTTTATTCTTTTGGATTATTGTGTTCAGTCTTATTGCAGAAGATACAATGCAACATGACTCTAGATCAGGGGTGTCAAATTGTCGGCCCGCAGGCCAGATGCATCACGACGAAACCGCGCCCACCCCATTGCCAGCAATGGGGGGAAAGTTCCAGTACATTGCGCGATGTCACATGACATCACGAATTTGACATGTCTGCTCTAGATCATTATTTAGATTCGGCTCAGCACAGAATCTGGCTGTTTTACCCAAGGTTAAAGCAAATTATGGCTTAACGTAATAAGGGCATTTAGCCTCTATAGCTAGAATCTGACTTAAACAATTGACTTTGCCATAGGATGAGGATGAGGACCTTAGGCAATTGTATTTTCCCAAGCCCAATTTCTCCATTTTACTTTCATAGGACTTAACCATCTTTATGCATTTATTGTCTGTCTTCATCTTTTTCTTGAGTAATTTTGGTGAAATACTATTAATTATCTAGTCAGTCAATAATTTATAAAATCTCCATTCAGGATAAGAGCTTTCAAAAATCTCAGCACTGTATGATTCTTTGGTTCAGTTAGCTTGCTGTACCAAAGAATAATAGAGTTTACAAAATTAGTTTTGGAAAATTTGGCCTTTTAGAATGAGAAAAACTTCACATCTTACAAAGCAATCAGACTTGGTTAAATAGGTCACAATTAACTAGGTTTATGCAATTACATCTAGTCATTAATATTTGTTTAGTTTTGGCTTTATGATTTATATATGAACCCAACCACTTAATCTACAAACTATTATTAAGCAAAATAGCAGTGCATCAATAAACTTGTTTCTAGGATCATATTTAACAAATTTGGGAGGACTATTACTGGAGGGTATTTTAATATGCAAAATAAATAAGATGATGTCCAATAATGGGGACAATACTTTTTGTAATTTCCTGAATTTGGAGAATTTCTTACATTAACAGTGTTACATGAATCTTCAAAGTTATCCTATAGCCTTGCTGTGTAGTCTGCCTCATAGTGGCATGAAATTTTGTCATTTCACACTTGTTGTTGTTGTTAATTGCGAAGTCGTGTCCGCCCCATCGCAACCCCATGGACAACATTCCTCCAGGTCTTCCTGTCCTCTACCATCTTCTGGAGTCCATTTAAGTTCACGCCTACTGCTTCAGTGACTCCATCCAGTCACCTCATTCTCTGTCGTCCCCTTCTTCTATTGCCCTCGATCTTTCCCAGCATTAGGCCCTTCTCCAGTGAGTCCTTCTTTCTCATTAGGTGGCCAAAGTATTTGAGTTTCAACTTCAGGATCTGGCCTTCTAAAGAGCAGTCGGGGTTGATCTCTTCTAGGACTGACCGGTTTGAATGCCTTGCAGTCCAAGGGACTCGCAGGAGTCTTCTCCAGCACCATAGTTCAAAGGCCTCAATTCTTTGTCGCTCAGCCTTTCTTATGGCCCAACTTTCACATCCATACATTGCAACTGGGAAAACCATGGCCTTGACTATACATACTTTTGTTGGCAGGGTGATGTCTCTGCTTTTTAGTATGCTGTCTAGATTTGCCATAGCTTTCCTCCCCAGGAGCAAGCATCTTTTAATTTCTTGGCTGCAGTCCCCATCTGAGGTGATCTTGAAGCCCAGGAAAATAAAATCTGTCACTACCTCCATTTCTTCCCCATCTATTTGCCAGGAATTGAGAGGGTAATTCGGGAAAAATCACAAAAAAGAAGCTGTGCTCTTCAGGTTAAATTTTTACTGTATGATATGGAAATTTTGTCTGTCCTGCTTTATATGCCTCTGATAATATATTAAATCCATTGTGGAATAAGTCAGCAGTAAATGTACTATTTTCACTTTTTTGAAATTTCAGTTGTTTACAACTGGTTATTTTGCTTTTTGAAATGTTTGATTCTTGATGACAAGAATTTAGCTTCACTAGATTTGTGATAAGTTTCAGATGCTCCAAATTATAAATGTACCTTAAAATAAAAGTGAAATAGAATGTTGACTTACAGGAAGGTTGAGCTGGAGATACATTTGCATTTTGGGCTGTACAATATTGTATTGCTTGCTTCATTTTTTTGTCCAGTATTTCACCGTATTCTCAAGATTACACTATAGAGAAATATTGTACAGTATTTCACCATATTCTCAAGAAGATTACACTATAGAGAAATATTGCATAGCAGTAAGGAATCATTTTAGTTTACAATATGTGTGCAGCAAACTTAGCAAGGCAGCCAGTGCTGAACTGAACAGAACAAGGAAACTAGCATAGAAACATAGAAAACTGACTGCAGAAAAAAGAGCCAGTGATCCATCCAGTCTGCCCTTTGAGGTTTTTCTTGTTGTTGTTTTTATTATTATTTTCAATTTTTTTATTTTTAGTTTTTTGCAGTTAGCCAAATGTTCAGATTGGATTTGCTATTATTACTTGCTTGTTTACTTACATATGTACATTGCATGATAGACATGTGTTTTCCCCCAAGCATATTTAAAGTTGGTTCCAAGCTTCCCCCACTCTATCTGCGAAGTAATACTTTCTAACATTACTTTTGAACTTCCCTCATGTCAGTTTGAGTTGTAACTGTGTTTTTGATTTTTGTTAAAAGTCTTCAAAAACCCAATGTCTAAAACTCTTACTTTCTGCCATTAAAAGTGTAGGTTTTATATAATTAGCTTAATGCCATTACAGTCATGCCAACATGTTTTCACAGAAAAGGATAAACATGCTGGCATTTTAAATTTAATGACTTCTCAGATTTTCTATCATTCTAAGTTACTTTCAAGAGGCCGGTTCAATTCCCAAAGGCTCTGTCTACAGAGTCTACTACAGTATTTGGTTCCAACATGCTCAGTTTATACTTTTTACCTTTTCTTCACAAATTGTTATGCACCTGGGTCCATTGTAAAAGCTAATCAAAAGCGTGTCCTGTTACCACTCCACAATGTGAACAGCAGTGAAGTCACGCCAGTTCAGTTCTGCAGACAAATCAGGATTCTGGGATGGAAGAGATGAGCAGTTGTGGATGGCAAAGGAAATCCTCTCCCTCTAAGCAGCCTTTCAGGTGAGGTTCTGCAAAAGATGAGTCCCTCCACTGAGGCAATAAAAGCCAGCCTGTCTGGATCCCAGCTTCAGCTGAGTGGAAAAGAGGGCCCGTTTTCTTTCATTGTTGAACTGTAGAACAAGGTAGCTATGGAGCCTAACCTGGCAGCCCATAGGGCTTGAAACGGGTGAAACAGAACTGAAGATAACTTGGTCTCTGAGCATATACAGAATGCATCTGCTTCATGATAACTTGAGCCAGCTTCTAAGCATTAGAAGAAAGGAGCTCGCAGGCCTCAAGTTCTGCAGCTTCCTTTTCAGTCACGGTCCTTATTCTCCACCCTGCTTTCTTCACAGCCAGAGAGAAAAACTAGCAGTAATCGGTTAATAAACTCTTTCTGCTTTGATCTGTTGCAACTTGGGCATATCTTCTCTGACGAAAGGGGGGGGGGAAGAATCCAAATCTTAGTCTTTAACCACTAGACTACAATCCCCTTTCCAGGCCTTCAATTACATCATTTGATTCAGCGGGACGAGTGCCTTTAAGACGGAACTAGTTTCCAATTTCGGTTTGTTTACAACTCCCTCCACGTAGATCAGTCACCGTCATAGGTTAACATAGCTGGGTTTTTTTACACAACTAGTAGTGACCTTCCGCCAGCAAACAGCTTCCTACTCAACTCTCCAGTCTAAATCTTTTTTGCCACTAGATGACATCATTGCTCTCCCTAAATTCTCGAATAGTTACTGAAATTTCTCGATCTTAAGCGAGTGACTCATTACAAAATCCTCTTAATCTTTAGAGTTATATTGGAACTACTTTTTGGGCACTACCATAATTATTTTGTCGAGGGGTAAATTACGAAGCTATTTTCCTTCAACGCTATTATGATAAAGTGCCTGAGGTGACATTCGTTTGAATAGGAGCTCTAGCAGGGCTCAGAAAGGTCGGTTCAATACGCGTTAAGAGTTTAAGATTCTCATAAATTGTTGGTATATTCCAATTCCCACCTCCTACACCGCCTCCAACTATTTTCCTCTGATTGGTTCAGTTAATGTTGAAGGACTCCCATTATAGCCATTGATATTTTAGTTATTTAGGCAGCCTACCAGAGAGGGCTTCCTTGTTGTCCCAGCCTTCCTTGAATATTGATTGGCTAAACAACAGTCCCTTACCGCGATTCTGGGAAGGGTAGTCATTGTGTTAAAAGAGAACTGGGCAATCGATCGGAAGGAGAAACCACAAATCCCGAGATACCTTGGGACCAGGAAAATGAGAAGCGGCTGCGCACTGAGGTGAAGGGGCTGGTTCGTTTATATAAGGCGAGGAAACGCGCTAGGAGTAGCAGTTGAGAACTGGCGGCGCTTGAGTAAGGGAGGAAAGCCGTGGAAGGAGGGGTGGAGTTAACTGCAGGGAAGGAGAGATTCGAACTTTGGGTGTGCGTGGAGGAGTCATCCTTCTCTCATTTACTTAACTCTTTCCTCTCCGAGGTGGAAACCATTTTTAACTCGTTCGGGACTGGAGAATTTTTCATAGCTGAAGCTTGGGATAGAAATATTTTTCAAGCGATTTTTGTGGTCCAGATTGTTGAGAAAAAAAGAAGAATTGTTACACACTCAGACTCTTGGCACTGGAAGTGCCTTCAGCTTTTTCGTACCTGAACTGTTAAACCTTGATTGTGTGGATTTGGACATTTAACACTTATCACCTGCGCTGGAGTGAGAACCCTACTGCTTAACTCTTCAGTGGCCTTTTGTCTCTCGCATCTTCATTTTTTAAATATAATTATTGTTACAAGGCGATTTAAGGACATACTGGCTCTGTTGCGGTGGCTCATTCTTTAGTTGGAACTTTTTTTTGCTTTTAATCTTTTTATACTTTGAGATGTGCAACTTTTCTACTGTGTGAAAAACAGGAGAAGTAGAGACTACAGGAAAAAAACCGGATACTTCCACACTTCCCAGAAGGTAATGAACATTTAAAGACTATTGATGACCAAGACACCTTGCCGGTCTTTCTTTTCCTGCAAAGTTTAATGTTTGTAACAGTCTAGAAATTTAAGAAAGAGCAAGAAAGGCTTCCAGATTAATACTCCTGTTAACTATTCTGCGATTAAGCAGTAAGAGTTCTGTAAAGGCTTGCAAGTTGGGCTGAAGTGTTAAAAGTATTTGATTTCTCAGAACTTGTGAAGCTGGCATTCCCAGCCCCATCGCAAGGAACTGTCGGCTAATTAAATTCTCCCTCCTTCAAGAGAGGAGGGAGTCAACCCCTCGGACTTACTAGCCAACAATCTTTTTCGGACTGAGGAAATTGCTAAAAGCACCAGCTATGGCTGATGCTGCCCTCTCTGCCAATCTGAGGCAACAGCGTAATGGCAAAACAACTTTTCCCCCCTGCAGGGATGCAGGTGGAGGAGATAGTGGTGGAGGGGGACCTTTTGTTGGATCTCCACCCACTAACCAGGAACTGCTCCAAGGAAGAGAGATTGCCGATAGATGGCAGTCAAGAGAGGTGGTTAAGCAGGATGGCAGGCCGGTCAATACTGATGTTTCCTTCCCTGGTATAGATTTCACAGTTCCTGTGATTGGAGAAAGCCAAAGTCTGGGTACTCCGGGGATTAATCAGATTGAGGACCAGACATTTGGTGCAGCTGCAGACATCCAAGATGCAGGAGATGAAGAACAGCCAGACCTACAGGAGCAGGGATACTGTGGGCCTGTTGACCAGAGTTGCAGATCCCAATCTGGTGAAGAAGAGGAAAAACAGTTGGGCAAAAAGAAACACAGAAGGCGCCCTTCAAAGAAGAAGAAACATTGGAAGCCTTATTACAAACTCAGCTGGGAAGAGAAGAAGAAGTTTGATGAGAAGCAGAGTCAACGGGCTTCCAGGATGCGGGCAGAGATGTTTGCTAAAGGACAGCCTGTTGCACCATACAATACCACACAGTTTTTGATGGAGGATCATGATCAAAAAGAACCAGATTTGAAAACAAGCCTTTACCCCAAAAGATCTGCCACCAAGTCAGATGAAACCAGTGAGGAAGACTTTGTGGAAGAGAAGGATGGGGGTAGTGATGGGATGGGAGGGGATGGTACTGAATTCCTTCAGAAGGATTTTTCAGAGACATATGAGAGATATCATGTAGAGAGCCTACAGAATATGAGCAAACAAGAGTTGATCAAGGAATATTTGGAGTTGGAGAAATGTCTTTCCAGAATGGAGGACGAGAACAATCGCCTACAGATGGAGAACAAGAAATTTGCAGGGGACTCAACAGAGGAGGACCCCAGGGTAAGTCAGTTAGTACAGGAACTGGACAGGTTGAGAGCTGAGAACCAGAAACTCTTGAAAGAAAAGGAACTTGGCAGAGAACAGGAGAACAATTTCTCTAAACTGGGAGAATGAAACAACATTTTCTGAGGACATAAGTGGAATTGGACAGAAACCATCCCAAGATGCTGTATTCATATTGTGGGGTGCACATGTGTATGTGTGTGTGTGCACACACACATACACACATATAGAAACAGGACTTTTATGTGATTTAATCAGAATAAATTCACAATCTTACACTGTTTTTGAAGATAGTTCTAATATAGTGCGTGCTCTTTTTTTAATTATGTGTAATCAAGGGGTTTGGGATTTGTTTTTTGAAATGAGAACACAGAATATCCAGCATTCCTAGGGGAAAAAATCTAAAAGTTCATCGGATTCATACTGAAACAGAATTTGTGATCCTTGTAAAGGAGAGACATTGGTGAAGAGGGAATGGAGCATGGGAAGGAACATGTAAAATAGTCACATTCGGGGGGGGGGAGGCTACCCAGATACATGAAAAGAATTTAAATAAATAAGGTCATGTCAGCATAATAATTCTGGTATGATTTCTAGAAAAATAATTCAAAATATTTTCTTTTGGCAGAGAATATTGTGAATAATTTTTCCAGGCAACTTGCTTTAAAGGAATATGAATTGGAAAGGATGGATTATTCTAAGCCATTGTGTGGTTGGTCTAATAGAAGGCCAAAGAAAAACATCACAGTCCAAATTTACTTTATTTACTAGAGCATTCTTTATTTTTTATGTGTTTTATAATTATGTGGCGGGTGGGGGGGGTGAGCTGCCAAAGCAAGTTACTTTATTTAACTACTCTGTTTGGCTCCACAATAAACCTGCATGGTAAGTCTCTGTTCCCATCTTTATACTTTGGAGTCAGAGGATGGGCAGGTGTGACCTGCCCAAGGCAGTAGAGGTGGAGCATTCAAATCCTATTGCCTAACTGCTGTTTTCTGTCACTGAAAATGTTGAATAGAGATATTGCTTGCTTTTTATCCATAAATTATTTTGCTGCTTTAATAAGTAATTATAGATAACACTTGAGGAGAAGGAAATGGCAAATCACCTTTCTCTTTTTTAAAAATTCAGGCTTTAATTTGGATAGGATGAGATGACTTTGCTGTGCTATTCAACTTTGTAATTTAAATCAACAGCAAAAAAGGAGTTTTCCAGTGGCCATCCCAGTTAATAGCTTGCAATGCCTTTTCTTTGTGTTCATTTTGCTGGCCAAATTGATATAGCCACATATCTTACCAAACAAGTTTTGCCAGATATTCTCTCTTTATCTTAGTTTGGTAACCTTAGCTCACTTTCTTCAACTATCTGGACAGTTTATATAGGAAGCCTAATTCCCCTCCCCCCCCCAAGATCATGGTAATGCAGATAAAAGAGGATCATGTGTACATGCAGACATTATGAAAGTTTCTGATATGATACTATGCATCAGGCAGCCTAGTGTAATCTGGTTATAGGAATCATAATCTTTAAAGAATCATTTTCTATTAGAACTGCCAGCTGAGTCTGATGGGACTGAAATCTAAGCAATCGTAGGATCTGTCACAGTTATGATAGCTTCTTTCAATGCAACTCCCACTTGAAATTGAAAATTGCTTTCAAATAAACATGGATAAGTTCTTACTTGTGTAGCCTCTTTATCCAAGCTATCAACTGGACAGGTTTTTTTAGTGTTAAATATTAAGGAAGGTGGGATCCTTTTGTGTTCCCAACACTATTCCATTAACTCTGCAAAAGCAAGTTATCGTTTTGATGAATTCAATCTACAAAAATGTAGGAGGGAATTGAGTGAATACAGACTTCTGCCTTTACCACAAAACTTGTATTTCATTTTACTCTATTCTGGTGCACACACAGACTTGGTATATATAATGCTGTTCAATTTCATAGTATATAGTATTTTATATTTTTCTTCCCTCCTAATAATTGCCCCTCCTTGTTTTTTTAAAAAAAGAAATGTCTTTAGTAGTATATTAGACAAGTTTGTTTAGATAATAATAATCTGTAAATATTTTATGGCTTGTCTTATAAATCTCTGTCATCCTCTAAAAAATAGACAAGGTAAATTTTAAAATAAAGCCAATATAAAACAAAATTAGTGATCTTTAAGTGGTCAGTGCTAACTTGACCATTAAGAAATGTAAAGAACAATGCAAGTCTTCATTTTCTATGGAATAGAAGGGCCAATACTGAGGAGCACTGTGACAGAAAAAAGGCCTCACTTCATGCCTACCAGTCTGATCTCTCTGGGAGAGAATCTAGAATGGAGCTGTACCTGTAAATTATGGGCTAATATTCAAACCCCCTAACAATTAGAAATACCCAATGATTAAGACAACAGGCAGTTTAATTGTGAAAATGAGTTCATGTGGCAAGGAGGCAGGCATGGACTTGTCTGGAGGGCATTCTAGATTTCTTAACCAAAATGCAGAGCTCTCTGCAGTGATTAGACAGACTCCATGTTTTAGAGTTGTATTGGTTACTGAAACCTTTCTGCATTAACAGATAAAAATGAGCTGCTTGGGCTTTTCCCCCCAGGATGGCCTAGAAATTGAGAAGGATGGCACAGGAGTCGATTGGTCCGCTCTTTGATTCAACTGGAGTCCCAGAATCATATGATGGGCCATGGTTATTTCAGGTTGTAGATACATTTTAGGTCAAGAGTGCCATCTGACATTTTCTGGAGCCATTTCAACTATTGGTTCTCCCCTTCTTCATTTGTCCCATGGATACTTTCCCTACCCTGCTACTTTCACTGTTCACTTTTCCCTTTCACCAGCCAAGTTGCTTTAGATTGAGATTGTCTTAATTCCTTCCCCCCCACACACACACACCTAGGGAAGATAAGACACAGTTGGGTGGTTGGTCTACTCCACAAGTGAAGCTTGAAAGAAAAAAACAGCCTTCTGAAGGCCAAAGTCTATAAATCAAACTTACTGCTCTGTAGTGGAGGCTGAGATATCTGAGGATTCATTCTTAGAAAATGGGAGGAAGTTGATTAAGTGGGGACTTGGCAGTTTTTGGAAGGGGCTTTCCAGCCACTGCCAGAAGACACTCGTCCAGGTTTGGGGGAAATTAAAAAGCAGCTCTCTGCCTTGTTTGGGGGAAGGTGTTTTTAGGAGTGGGTGTAATGTCATCCAAACCCCTTCAGTTGCCAAACTGCAGGAAGGGTGAAACTTCAACTGTAATACCAGAGAGAGGTCTTGAATTTTTAGTTTGTGCTTTCTAGAATAAAATGCTGCTTGTCTCTCTACTCCAAGGCAACAGATGATAGAGCTCTTCTGAAAGGAAGTGGTCTGGCTGATTACATACCTTATGGGTGGAAGCCAGGCAAAATAACTTGCTATTTCATTCAGAAATACCCAACCTGGGTTTGAAATCATAATCTAGTTTTTTCTATATCCTTGATTTTCAATAATTAGGAGGTAGCATTTATAAAAGGTAGCATTTTTTTCTCCGCCCAACTTTTTCTGGTGTAAAATATATGAATAAATATGTTTCACAACTGCAGAAGTTATAGAGTTGTATGTAACTCTTAACTCCTGCTTAGTTTAGAGTCAATGTGGATCTGGCAATAGTTTTGTTGTTGCCGAATTTTTTCCCCTCTGGGGATTGGCAAAATTTTGTCCATAGCAAAACTTTTGTGCCTTTCAGCATGTGGGAATTCAAATATTGAAATTTATGATTAAAAATCCTCACATACAAGGAGTCTAGATATATTTTTTTCTAATCGCAGCAACAAATAGTCTGATAAAGTGTGTTTGTGTAGTTATCTGCAATCTTTTGGGATCTTTTTTTCTGAGTAAGGTAAAAGGCATTTGACATAACATTTGAATTCATTTAAAATTCCTCTATTTGCAAGTAAAATGTAAGAAGGAAGTTTTACTCAAATTTCTCAATGTTCTTCTCTTAAAGGAAATAGTGGTTTTTGACTAATAAACACTTGAATTACACCATAGCCACATCTTAAAACACAGTGAATGGTATCAGCATTTTATAAGTTACTCCAATACCAGCTCCCTGGAAGCCAAACAGGTTTAATAATAAATTCATGGGCCAGTTTTTTGTCATGAAATGGTGCTGCTTACAAAAGCCAATGAGCTGCAAGCTTTATGATATTTTTTATAACAATAAACATACGTTTTACAAGTATAGTAAGACATTATTTTCATATTCTTATGATTAAAGAAACATTTTTGCTGAAATAAATGGAAATAGATTTGAATATTTTTATCAAAATTATATGACCTACATAATTATTACCCTAAATTGTAAATGTGTACAATATAGTTTGAATTTGAAAATGCTGCTTTATCAGGCTCATCCTAATCCAGTTATTAGAGATAAGATATCCAAGATGGGAGTTATTTGGGGTGCAAGTGACAAAGAACATGTGAAACTGGTGGGAGTAAGTTGGCACCATGCACTTGCTGTAAACATAGGCAATATTTTATTTCTTAATGTGCAAAAGCACATAATCTGAATGGTTTACCTCCTAATCCTGTTTCTATAAACTGTAAAAGAAAAGAGGCAAACACCTGCAGCATGGATATGCTTCACTCATTACTGTTCAGGCTAATAGTTCATCTCTTCCTTTTGCATAGTCTGAATACCAGCTGGGCTCTAAGAAGCCCACGTGGTATCATGGTTTAAAGTACAGAAGCCTCCCCAACCTGGTTTTGCAGAAATCTAGACAACTCTTTGTTAACAACTTTTTCAAGAAAAGTAGAGACAGGCCTATCTATTTGGTATACCAAAAACTATAGAGTTTTAATTTTGGCAAAAGAAAGCAACTATTCTCTCTTGTTATAAGGGCCATTAAACAGAAGACTTAAGATGTAACATGTCACCAAAAGGGGTAAAAGCAAACTAGCCTAGGCATCAAAAGAATGGTATGCAAATCTCTTCACAGGGCTCCACCTACCAGAGTCTGCATGTCACTTCAAACAGCATTTCCCAATGGAATTCTGGGAGTCACATCCGTAGCTAGGAACCATCAATTGAGAATCAATTAAGCCATGTACATTTGAATGTGAAGCTGTCTTTTCTCTTTCTAATATGAACTCATTTTTAGGAGAAAAAGTGAGCAAAGAGCAGACAGGAAGGCATGCCAGGAAAGAAAAGGCCCCATGATTAGCCCCTAGCTAAGTTCCATCCCTGTTTTTCCCTCTATCTCTGAATTGCACTTCCATGTATGATGTATGCCACTCAAACTAACTTCTTGAGAGATAGAAATCAT